TTGTTCCAGGATCAAAGGCAAGATGGCTCTCACTACCAAATGCTGGGGAACATGTGCAGTGTGGTGCTTGGCTTCCCTACATGTCAACTTCTTATCTGGGAATCTGGCTGGTCACTGCTGACTAGAAAGGCCTTTGGGTTGATCCAGCAAGAGAATTTTTATATTTTTATGTTCTGAAGAGCAATTCTATTTCTGACCAACTCACCAGTCATTAATGCTATGGGACTAGAGCTATAAACGTCACAAATGCTCTAGGTAATTACCTAGCACTTCAGAAGGCACAAATCTCTGTGTTCAAGAAAGAGAACAACTTGTCTTTGACATGAGTTGATAACAAAATTGTACTCTTGTTGCTCTCTCGATCAACAGCTTTCATTTCTAACCATTGACTTAAATACTGCATTTGCATGCAGAAGTAGCTCTGCTGTCATTAAACAAGACCTCCATTTAAAGGTCCCATGTGGAGAATCCATGGGCCACACACTTCACCCCTCCTGCTCAAAATGCCCCCCTGGTTGGGTCATTCCTGCCAGGACCAGGCACTGAACCTTTATTGGCTTACAAAACAGGTTGTCTTGCAGCTGAGCCAGAACCAGATCAAACAAACAGCATTGCATGACGTGTAACCCTGGTTAGGACATGTAACTGAGCTCACTGCTTTGGATTTATAGCCTGCCTTTTTCTTAAAAAACAAACTCAAAGTGGCTGACATTCTCTTCCTGCTCTCAGTGTTACCCCGCAATGACCCCTTGAGAGGCTGGGCTGAGACTCTGACTGGCTCAAAGCTATTCGGTTGGTTCCATGGCTGAGTGGGGGCTAGAACCTGGTTCGGCTGAGTCCCAGGCCTGTGCTCTTAACCACTGCACCACACTGACCCTCCCTGCCGTGATTGCTGCTAATCTGCTCTTCATTTCCATTCTCTCCCCACTCCCACTCTTGCATGCAGGGCACCTCTACCACCTTGGTTTGTCAGCTTCTTGGGGCAGAGATTTGCATATAGATTCAGGGTAGTATATTTACTCCTTTATATGCTAGAGGAAAATAGCTTTGTTCCGCCCCACCCCACCGATCCAGAATATTCTAACTGCAATTCACATTAGGGATTATGACCATCAAACAGTCGCAGCAACCCCTGTATGTTCTGCCAGGTGAAATTTGCTCTGGATTAAAGGAACCAGATTTTGTAAAAACAAACCAGGAGGAACAGAATGCCCTGAAAAAACCCAGCAGTTTGATATTCTGCTCCCTGTATATTAACCCGACAGCTGAAGGCTGCCACAGAACTGCGATGGCTTGATCTTAACCCTTCTGCAGTCTTTGATCTAGCAGATGCAGGAAGTCACCACAGCCCTTGCTGTCTTGAGCCTGCTCTCTCACCCAGGATCCCCCGGCTGGTAGAAGCACTGCCAGGTCATTGCCCCCAAAGATCCCACAGCCTTCCTTGGTGGAGATGCGAAGCCACCCTGGAATGGCATACCAGGCCAGCTGACAAATGCTGCCATATTGCCCCAGCAGCTCGGTCGAATGGAGCAAGTTGTGGGAATGACCACCATCTGCCTTGCTATTTCCCTGCTCTGAAGGGAAGCTTGCAGGTGAGGTCAGAAAGAGGTCCCACCTGGGAATGGAGCAAGGGAGGATTCACTCTGTGAGCATTTGCTGAGAACCCGCATCAGGTCTGCATAAAGATCCAGTGAGCAGGGTGGCCTCTTTTTTCCATCACCTGGGATCATATTTAGTAGCTGGCTGGGAATTCTCTCTCTAACTTGCGAGTTGCACCCTTAATTACTTGACCAAACATTTCACACACACACACTCGCTCTCTCATTTAAAGTGGCATTTTAAATATTGTTCATGATCATGAAAGATGTAAAAGCAAAGGTAATTTTTTTATTATTATTGTTATTTTTTACACATCTTCATGTGGAAGTAGCTGAAACTCCATTAGGAGACTGAGAGGAGCAACGCAGAAAGACTGAACGTAATTATTTTCTGCAAAGGTAATGAGACAAGGCTAATTTAGACATCATTCATAGGAGCATGATCTCCCAGGGCTCCTATCAGTTCCCCACAATTCCCATTAGCCCTAGCCAGCATGGCCAGTGGTCAAGGATAATAGGAACTGTAGTGGTCTAACTCACCTGGAGCGCACCGTGTTTGAGAAGGCTAATTTAGCATAAGTGAGCCAGCAATGGCAGGGATAAGAAAGAATAAGGGAAGCAGCTGGTGGAAATGTTTGATTCGTCAGAGGGGGTCTTGCCCAGGAGTCCTTAACACTCCCACCCACACTGGAGTCACCCAGTCTAAGGAGGGCCTGGATTTTCTCCAATCATGCTTTTAAGAAAAATCCCCTTTCACAATTTCTTTAGCTGCAACAAGGAAGAGAATGATCCAAGGGACGCGTGTGTTGGATTTCGTCAGTGGCTGGACAGTTGCACATGAAATGCAGGCAAGCTGCTGATGCATTTGGATCCAGGTGAGCAGAGCTTTAGGGTACAAAACCTACACATATTTACCCAGAAGTCCTACTTGCTGAGCAGAAGGGAAATGATTCCTAGCTGGGTGTGACAGAGGAATACAGTCTGAGGACATTAGAACCTATAGTTTCAGATTTCAGCTTTTGTTGCTGTTTATTTATAAAAATGGCTAATTATTGCATCACAACCCACTTTGAAAAAAAAATATATGCGCATTTAAAAGCCTCCAAATCTAACTTCTCATACAGTCTATTTTTGATGGACTGAAACATAATATTTCTTAAATGTTCACATTACCCCTCTTGTTGGCAGTGCAAACCTCATCTTTTCCTTGACCATCACAATCAATGGCTATAAGCTAGCTAGAAGCATGTTTGACTTCAGTATAGACCAGAAATAGCATTTAAAACATTTTACTCCATTTCTTCAGCCAAAAGAAAGGCTTCGGAGAGTTACAGTTCCTGCCCTTAGGCTTATAATTTCTGAGACAGGATATAAGGAAGGGGATGGGGAGGGAAGAGGAAAACAAAAAAGTGGAGGCGCCAGTCCTTATATGAACGGCAATATTAATGAGCTGTAATTAAAAAACCCTATCTTTTCAGGGGTTGCTCTATGGTCTGGCCTCCCTTCCCCATGTAACAGACACAGTGCCAAACAGCTTTCGTAAGAACATGAGCGCCTTCAGCAGTGGGAGCATCGCTTGCCTTTAGGAATTATTCTTGGTGAGGTTAGTGGTTTGCTAAAGAACAAAAATGCTTTTCGAAAGACCCTTTCAAGAAAAGAAAGCAAATGAGAAAACCAAGCATGCATGCATGAGGCAGACCCACACCCAAGCCTCACAGTTGTTCTGACGGATCTGCAAAGTTCTTTTTTGCCCATCTTGACTAAAATTCAATGAGTCTGGACTGAGATGCTTTCAGGGTGCATGGGTAACCCCCAGATGATTCTGGAGAGTTACACATGTTCTTATTAAGATGCATAGCTCACACTTCTAACTGTGTAACCAACAGAAAAACACTTGCCTGCACAAAAGTTGGATTATATATTTCTTATTAAATTCAGGAGTATACCACCCATGGCTCTCTGGGAGGCTAACAAAAGTTAAAAAGACATACACCCAACACTTAAAAGACCAAAGCCATAACTGCAACTGCTATTATTCAGCACAGAAGCTAATGGCTGGGGAGCTCGGTGAAGATTTTGTCGGGGTTTAGGTACTGCCAGCTCACTCAAGAGCGAAAATCTTTGCACTAACCCATACAATGCAAGTCGTCCCAGCCATCTGCAGAAAGGACGTGGATGGCGGCTCCAAGCAGCTCGGTAGAGCTGTCTCTCATTTCTTTTGGAAATCCTTCTGGTTTCGTGCAAGTGCTCAGAACAAGCACCTGCCACACCACAGAGCGGTGCAGTGGTTCGAATGTTGGACTGGGACTTGGGAGATCTGGGTTCTAGTCCCTGCTTGGCCAGAAAGCTTGCTGGGAGACTGGGCCATTTACTCTCAGCCAAACCTACCTTATCAGGTTGTTGTGAGGATAAAATGGGGAGGAGGGCAAGGATTGTGGAAGCTGCTTTGGGGTTCCTTGCCACAGGGAAAAGGTGGGACCTGGCTTCGGGAAAATGGGAAGATAGTTTTGCATTTTTTGAAGATGATACTGACTTCCAGCCCAAAGAACTGAGGTGAGAGTGTGGCACCCCACCCCCCACAGTCACCTTCATCTCCAGACCTTGTACCCTGCAAAGGTCACTGAGCAATGTCTTGCCTCTGACGAAATGACACCAGGGGCTGTCAGTCCCTGCCTCTACCCTTTTCACTTCTGTGGACCTTTTGTGTTTAACTCTAAACCCTTTAAAGATTACAAAACCAGGGCACCGTTATTTTCCAGGCACCTGAATTTCAGCGTACAGCCCAGCACACCACGGCTGCCTGAGGGAGGGGAGGCTCGGATGCAACAGCCCCTTAAAACTAGTTTTCGAGCCGGGATTAAAAGAAAGCCCAAATTCATATCTAGAGAACAGACAACATCGGGGCGAAGCCCCACGCCCTTCCTGCCTGGAAAAACCAGCCAGGATACTTGGCAGCCACCAGGCGGTCCTAAATCCACCTCGCTGTACTCCTCCAGCCTCCTCATCTGGCCAAACTGTTCTCGTGCAGCCACGCAGGTCTCGGAAAAGTTTGCCTGCCCGCCGAGGCAGCTTCGCGGGCCACCTTCTCCTTCGCACGGGTCACTCAGCACCCAACCTGCGCACTCCTCTGGTCCCCCCGCCCCCAAGAACTGGGGAAGGTCTCAGCCCGAACGAGATCAGAAACGCGGTGCCGGAGAAGAGCGAGCGAGGTCCATCCCGCTGCCTACGGGGGACCCCTCCTCACTGCATAGCACCGCCTGTCCGCGCCAGCCCGCGAAGCTGAAAAGGGCGAAGGAGGGCGACCCACCCGGGGAAGGCTGGTCTTCGCGGGGCGCCCTCGGCCGGCGCCAGGCAAGACGCAGCGCGCTCCCGGACGCGGTGCCCGAGCGGCCGGCCCCTTACCTGGCCAGAGGCTTGCGGGAGGTGATGCTGGCCACGATCACGCTGCCGGGCCTCGGCGTGGCCACGGCTCTGAAGGTGCCTTGCCAGAACTTCTCGAAGAGCTGCTTCTCGCCCTGCTGCACGCTCGCCATGGCAGGGCTGGCAGCGCGGCGCGGCGCGGCGCGCCAGGAGCTCTCCGAGGTGCTGAAGGGGCTACATCCCAAGAGACGCGCGCTCCTCCGGCGGAGCGGGCGGAGTCGGGGGCTCCCCCAGCCCTGGACCCCGTCCCGGCGGAGCGGGGTCCCTGCAGCCGCGCGCGCGGGGGTGGGGGCCGCCTCCGTCCGCCGCGCGATCCGGCTGTGCGCGCGCGCTGGCCCCGGCGAGCTGGGTTTTGTCTCCTCCACACCGTGACGTGCAACGGAGGCTGGCCAGTTTCGAAGCGCTCGCTTGCTCCCTCCTCCTCCTCCTCCTCCTCCTCCTCCGTCTGCCTGAACACGCGCAGACAAAAGACAGCGGCTCCTGCCCGAATCAGCATCACAAAGCAAAACTAGCACCGGGGTGGCCGGGCGTGTGCCTGTGCGTGGCTGGGGGGGGGGGGGGGGGGGAGGCAAGAGGGGGAGGCGCTGACTCAGACGAAATCGAATCGAAGGGAGGAAATGAGCACGCACAAGCAGGCCCCCTCCCAGCGGCGGCAGGATCCGCCACCCTTCTGCCCGGAATCGGGGTGGGAGGCTGCACTGGCATTATTCTAATTAAATAACTCTTTACCCGTCTCCTCCCACGCGCCTTTCTGTTGATGAGCTGCAGAAGTGCGGCGCTTCCGGGGGAGCAACGCTACTTTCGAAGGACGTCCAGGCTGTCGCAGGGGGCAACGCAGCAAGACAAGGTTTTGGGGATCCGGGAAGCGCCGCAGGCCTACGGCTGGTGTCCGTGGTGTGTGAATTAGCCTTCGACTGCCTGGAGCCCTTGAGATGGGGGTCTTATTACAACTCCCATCATCCCCAGGCAGTGCATGCTGAGCAGATAATAGGGCTTACAGCCCAAGTCCATTCAGGGGGCACCAAGTAGGGAAGGGCTGATTCCCTGAACCCACATTCCACCTCAGCCCCATCTGCCCACCCCATAGAGCAAATATAAAGCAAACACCCAGCTCGCCTCTGCCTGAGAGGATTCCACGGCCATGCTAGGCAAGCATGGGTCCCTCTCTTACCGCCCGAAAGGCAGCTCATTAAAGAAATTGCAGCAGATTTCCTGTACGCATTTTCAATTGAATCATCCGTCAAAGCTGCGCATATTCGTATGGGGGGAAGTTATGCCTGGAAGGGGAGAATGAAGTATTTTGAATAATGCCTCCAAAGATCGCCCAAAGATACATCTCATCTGAGTGAAGAGGGCTGCCTCCCCTTCTGTCACCTGCTGTTGCCCTTCCCTTCCTAAGCTCTGTATTTAAATTAATAGCCCAAGGCGCTATGAAATCTGGGACAGGGCTAGAAAAAGCAGCATCTGATTAATTTGTCAACGTTTATCCATTAACCACAAAATCCGACACATGTCTACTCAGGAGGAAGTTCATGGTAGGCAACTTTTTGCCCAAGAAGATATATGTACACCGCCACACTGCTCAGCTGGCAAAATCCCAAGCAGGCTAGATTTTAGTGACTGACATGCCATTTCCAGCATCACTTTTCAAAGATGTCTAACAAGGAAATGCTGCAGAAACACACTAGAAGGTATCAAATAGCTCATGGGTGTTATATGACCAGTGAATAGACAGTTTGTACAATAGGAAGCTCTGTGACAAATATGTTCCAGAGTTAAGAAAAGTTGAACAAGTGTTTAAAGTGGGACAAGGAGGAGGTCAGGTGCCACCACCAAAAAAGGCCCTGCTGATCTCAGCCACCAACCAGCAGATGGGCCAAAGAAGAACATCTCCAATGCCAATCTTGAAGTTCGGGCAGACTCATACCGTAAAAAAAATCCAGAAATATCTCTGCAAATTTAGGTATAAATGGGCAGAAAATTGATAGAAGAAATCCAGGGTAAAGCACAAAGCAATGAACATTGCAAAGAGTGAAATACATACAATTTGCCTTCAGTTCACATATAAAGATGGAGGAGTATGACACCACTGAACAAGACCCAGGGGTCAAGGTGGAGGATTGATCAAAACGCCAAGTCCTGGAGGCTGCAGCAGAGAATCAGCAAACTGTGTTCAGAGCTTGTTTTGCCCTGTTTATGGATGGACAGAAGCAAGGAAGCAAGCTTGACCCCTGGTGTTTTTAGAAGCAGCAGAGCCTTCGATCATTTCAGGCCAGGTGGAGGATGCCTATTTAAGTGCTTCTCCACCTTAATAACAGATGGATAACAGCAACACCATTCCTTCAAAAGGGAAGACGAACATTTTGGGACATCCTCCAGGTGTGTTAGATTGATAATTTCCAGCCAACTTGGTCATTGGCCAAGCTTGGGACAGCTGCTTTAGGGGGAAACATTCTAGCCCAGCAGTAGAAGGAATACATCACTTTAGACAGGAAGTGGCGAGTTGCACATCTGAACAGCTTTCTTCATCAGGGCTGGTAGATTGTGTTGTGCTGTGCCATCAAGTCATCTCTAAATTGCCATGTCCCTGTGAATGAAAGCTTCCAGAATTTGCTACCCGTGACACCCCTACTTAGTTATTCTAAATTCAAGGCTGCGGCTTCCTTTAAGGAGTTAATCCACCCCATCTTTGATTTCAGGTAGGCTTTAAGCTTGCAAAATTTGCTTTTTACTAGAAATGTGAACTCTACTGGGACCTGCAGCAAACAAGTCTTTAGGGTGGATGTGGAACTAAGGTACCAAGTATGTGCTCAGCCCAAGAAACTCACAAATCCTATCATGTACAGCCCCACTGGGAATTGCATTTCCCCACAACCATTTAATATAAGGGATGGGAGGGGAGGAACCTTTTTTTTGGGGGGGGGCTAATATAAGGCAACTGAGTGACAAACACTTGCTGATTTTCTGTAAATCCAAAGATGCAGATCCAACTTCTATACACACCTGCCTTATAATGAAGACAATGTGACATAAATAGTTGCTGGACTGGCACTCTCGGGATCCAGGTTCTAGTCCCCACCTGGCATTGCTGGGTGACTTTGGATCAGTCCCCAATTCTCAGTCTAATCTGCCTGAGAGGGATAAAATGTGGAGGATGAGGGGACTTGGGTAAGGCATGTTCAGTTCCTTGCAGGGAAAAAAGTGGGATATAAATATAATTTTAAAAATCTGAAGTAAAATGAGAACAGCAATTCTCTTGCAAGGATGAAAACAAGAAAGTAGTTTTGGAAGAGCAATTTTGAGCAGGCCTGTGGCAGGAGGGGAAAGGACTTAAAGTTCTTGCACTGGACCCGGCTTTTAAAAAAGCAAGTGTTCATGCATTTTCCCTGCACCATCATCTCTTGGCCTTAAGTCCTTCAGACATTATAAAACACATTTGACAACCATCCAAGATTACACTTCATCTTCTCAAAAATGGAAATGATTTGGGGATAATTCCCATTGCTTTTGTATCTTTGGAACACTGAAGGAGAAAATTAATAAAGAGATGCTTGGGGGGCCGGGGGGGGGGGGACCCAAAGCACTCACACTTGAGTCTAATAGGGCTTAGGCAGAACTGGCTCCCACGATGTCTTCCTTCATTAGAGAGAGAAATACAGGCGGCTGTGTAGGCCCATTAGAAAAAATCCAAACTGGGCTAGCAGCTAAGGGACCAAAAGATGGTGTACAAGAATGCACTCCCCCGTGATCCATTGCACAAGCAGGACCTACCACTTGTGCAGTGGGGAACTAGGGATTTGAAAATCAGCTCTGGAAACGAGCAGAAACATTTGCTTCCAGTCAGTACAGCTTCTTCAGACAAGCTTTCCAGACATGCACCTAGGGATGGATAGATTCTATTCCATCTACAGACGTCTCTCATTCTGCTGGGTGCTCCTTGACAGAAGCTGCTTTTTAGAAAGTAGTAGGTCATTCTACTTGTACTACTTTGCATCAGCAGATGAGCTAGTGTGCATTAATTATCATTAAAGTGGCATTAATATAAATCCTTTTTTCCCAAGTGAAAGTCAGTTCATAAGTCCATGGAATCCACACAACCCAGAAAAGGCTGCCCTGATGCAGAACCGCCATATGAGATTTGCATTTGAAGCCATTGCAGATTTGACAACCGTACTTGCACTAGTGCAGGAAAAAAAATATCTCCATCCATTTCAGATTCTTAGAACCTTTAGTTCCCTGCTGCATGGGTCCCGTGATCATGGAGGTGGCGTTGGATACCTTTCAATGCCATCATGCCATTTCTTTCCTCATCTTTTCCCCCGTCACAGCAAGAATTCTGTGAAATCCAGAGCCCTGCACATTTTACAAACCTGTTGCATTGAAAACAAGAAATAAGCATTTTATGTTACCCAAACTTGGAGGCGGGTCAAGAAGCAACAGTGAGAACTGGGCACGGAACCACTGATTGGGTTCAAAATTGAGAAAGGAGTTCGGCAAGGCTGTATACTGTCCCCCGTCTATTTAACTTGTATGCAGAGCACATCATGAGAAAGGCAGAGCTAGATGAATCACCAGTTGGAATTAAGATTGCTGGGAGAAATATCAACAACCTCAGATATGCAGATGATACCACTCTCATGGCAGAAAGTGAAGAGGAACTAAAGAGCCTCTTGATGCGGGTGAAGGAGGAGAGTGCAAAAGTTGGCTTGAAACTCAGCATGAAGAAAACTAAGATCATTGCTTCCAGTCCTCTCACTTCCTGGCAAATAGATGGGGAAGAAATGGAGGTAGTGACAGGTTTTATTTTCCTGGGCTCCAAGATCACTGCAGATGGGGACTGCAGCCAAGAACTTAAAAGATGCTTGCTTCTTGGGAGGTAAGCTATGGCAAATCTAGACAGCATACTAAAAAGCAGAAACATCACCCTGCTGACAAAAGTGCATATAGTCAAGACTATGGTTTTCCCCAGTTGCAATGTATGGCTGTGAAAGCTGTACCATAAGGAAGGCTGAGCACCAAAGAATTGAGGCCTTTGAATTGTGGTGCTGGAGGAGACTCCTGCGAGTCCCTTGGACTGCAAGGCGATCAAACTGGTCAGTCCTAGAGGAGATCA